GGGGTTAAGCTTGCACCAGGTAACCTGTGACATCTTTTGTGAGGGCATCTTTTATGTGCAATAGTACATACAGTATCTGAACTCCAATACAAATGTCACCAGCACCAAGATTCCATGTTAGTGCAAATCCATTTTATTAATAGTTGTCATTGAAACGACAAGCGCTTTTGGAGCCGCGCAATGTCATTTCTGAGCCGGATGAAGGGGACCCTGCGCAGCCCTGAAAGAGCTTGTCGTTTCAATGACCTCTATCAATAAGGCCTGGTTCACACCTGTACGTTTTGTAGCGCGTTCAACGCTTTACACAACGCTCAAACATGAAAATCCCATTGTTTTCTATGGGTATGGTTCACACCTTGCCCTATTTCAGCCCGTCTGAACGCGCTACAAAACGGCCTACGCCTGTAAAGGTACATGAGCTTCTTTGCGGCGTTTTTGTTGCGTGTTTCCATTGAGATACAGCCAAGTAGCCCTCGAAAACGCGCGTTTGTTGCGCGGTTTTTCACGCGCATATTCGATACGATAGGTGTGAACAGAGCCTTAAATGGATTTGCCATAAGGCTCTGTTCACACCTAGGCATATCGAATATGCGCGTTTGTCGCGCGTTTTGTGACACGCATTTTTACCTCGATTCGTGGTAAAAAAAACGCGCGACAAACGCGTGTTTCCGAGGGCTACTTGGCTGTATCCCAATGGAAACGCCTGACAAAAACGCTGCAAAGAAGCTCATGTACCTTTTCAGGCGTAGGCCGTTTTGTAGCGCGTTCAGACGGGCTGAAATACGGCAAGGTGTGAACCATACCCATAGAAAACAATGGGATTTTCATGTTTGAGCGTTTTGTAGAGCGTTCGTAGAGCGTTGAACGCGCTACAAAACGTACAGGTGTGAACCAGGCCTAACATGACATCTGTATTGGAGTTCTATTGTGTGCGCTGCCATCCGCAGTCACTACGAGCACCTGTTACTTTTGGGATATCGGGTAAGGAGTGAGGCAAGATATATGGATACTGATTTGTATAGTACATATCTGGGGACCTGTGACACACTGGCATCTTATGGGGGCATTGTTTATATGCAGAATGCATATCTGGGGACTTGAGGCACACTGGCATCTTATGGGGGCATTGTTTATGTACAGAATGTCTGGGGACTTGAGGCACACTGGCATCTTATGGGGGCATTGTTTATGTACAGAATGTCTGGGGACTTGAGGCACACTGGCATCTTATGGGGGCATTGTTTATGTACAGAATGTCTGGGGACTTGAGGCACACTGGCATCTTATGGGGGCATTGTTTATGTACAGAATGTCTGGGGACTTGAGGCACACTGGCATCTTATGGGGGCATTGTTTATGTACAGAATGTCTGGGGACTTGAGGCACACTGGCATCTTATGGGGGCATTGTTTATGTACAGAATGTCTGAGGACTTGTGGCACACTGGCAATATGATTTGTGATACTTTGGGGGGAATTGATCAAAACCGGAGCAGAAGAATCTGGAGCAGTTGCCTATGGCAACCAATTAGCTTCTCTCGTCGGTTTTTGTTCAATTAAGGTTCGAAAATTAAAGGTGGATGCTGATTGGTTGCCATAGGCAACTGCTCCAGATTCTTTCTGCCCCAGTTTTGATAAATTTCCCCCATTATTGTATTTAACTCCAATGTTATTTAATCATACAATATATGCATATTGTATACTTCACAAAAAAATTGCCATGAGGCACTAGTGTTTGGCTTGAGGAATAAGTGGCAACCCTAACCACACGTAATTTTTTTGCATCTACGTTTTTTTTAGACTTTAGACTGGACTGTCTGGAGATTCTGCATACTTTTATTGGGTGCGGATGTTTTAAAAACGATTGACAAACTCCAATCTCGAAACCCCACACATTCCTAGCATGAAAAGAGGTGACCGCCCGGGAACTCCTGACCACCCCTGTCATGTATAACTAGCAGGGGTAGAGAACTTCTCCTATAAACACTTTGTTGCCATGCTAGCGGTCGTTAACGTAACCATAACCCCGCCTATATACTGCGTTTTAAATAAATCTCGGGCGTCCCATTGGCTGTCCTACGGATACAGCCTATTATGAGACACTTTGCATTCTGATTGGCTTAACCACCCCTTTGCTTCAAGTTGCTATTGGTTGGGAGGGAATACAGGGCGTAAGGGCTGGTTGAAGTTGGACCTGTCACCTTGCGCTGTGAGTTTGAATCGTCCGGGAGGTGAACAGCGGGGAGAGGGTGTGATGTGTGCGGCGTGTTAGTGTCCGGGAGCTCGGTATACGGCTGTACGATGATCAGCATCTCTCCTCCGGGGATAGGGACGGACAGCTCCAGCCAGGAGGACATCCCGCTCCTCTCCCTCACACATTTCTCTCGGCCGCCCTTTGTGAGCTTCGGATATGTCCAGCCCGGTTCATCCCGCAGCGCAGATCTAGTACTGCACAACCCGTCACCTGACCCGGCCCAGGTGACCGTACACAAGAGGTGACCAATCAGCTTCTCTCTTTCATTTTCAAATCTTAACTGAAGAGAGAAGTTGAATGGTTAACATGAGGCAACTGCTCCATATTTTGTGTGCTCCAGTTTTGATAAATTCCCCTCACTGTAGCTACTTTACACCTATTAGTGTGGGTGGAGGGCACAGCAGCGCGCTATTGGTGCAGATGGTGGGCACAGTGGTCCTGGATTAGCCCAGAGGCTCCAGGTTCAGCACTCGTAGACTCACCATAGCAGCAGCTGGGTTACTACTTGAAGTGAACTCTGCATGACAATCATCGAGGCCACATTCCTGTTTGAGCTGAACATCTCTGGTGGGTTTTTTTGGGGTGTTTTTGCGTATGTTTCAGGATTGGATGTTTATTACTATTTATACCCACCCCCAACTCACACAGTCATGTGTACATCAGTGTATTTCTGCACTGGGTATGGCCCGGTGTTTTACTTTCCGTTGTGGCCACAAAGCCTGACAGGCTCAGCAGCAGTCCACATGTATGTACACACGGAGCGACTACCTGCAGTTGGGGACATATGGGTGGCCATGGCTGTAGTCTGTGTATAGAGCCACTCATCTGTTCTTAGCTGCATGTAAGCGGCAGACAATGTCCACCTGTCAACTGATTGAAAGGCCTTGGCTGTGCCCGCTGCAGAAATCTGCTGATCTGGGTGGTGAGCAGCCAGGAACAGCCAAGTAAGGCAGAATGTTAAAGTCATTATTATTGCACAGTCCATTCACAGAGGATGTTAGATCGGGGTGGACAAAGGAATACTGAATTCAGGAGCCAGTCTGCCTCATCCAGGAGCCAGAACTATTGACAGTAACTATAGAAAACCTCAAAAGTTAGGAGCCAGCTGTAATTTTTAAGGAGCATTGCCTACCTGGCTCCTGGGATTTCTCCAGCCCTTTGTTCATGTTCAAAGTTGAAATAAGCTATATAAAGTTATGCTATAAATCAGAATGATTCATTGTGCCTAAGCCATACAATGAAAATGTTTATATTTTGTCTGGAATTCTCCCTGTAAAATCGCAGTGCTTTTCCTGGTATGAGAGGGTGACCAGGTAGTCTTGTGCCTCATAGATGTATATCTGCAGTATGAGATCTAAGGCACCTCTGCCTCTGACTGCTAGTCATTCAGTTTTGTTGATGTCACCATTGTGCTGCTCACTGTTCACCTTGCTGGAGGCAGGAAGCAAAATCCTACATCTACCAAGATAGCCCCCTCTACCAAGATAGCCCCCTCTACCAAGATAGCCCCCTCTACCAAGATAGCCCCCTCTACCAAGATAGCCCCCTCTACCAAGATAGCCCCCTCTACGCAGAGACACAGTCGAACAAAGCATAAGTCTGTAATGAGGAAGACGTACAATACAGGTGACTAGCCCTTTGCTCTCTTTCTGCCTTTTATTGAGTACAGCTTTTGGACTCTTTAAGGACATAGATTACTTGGGACCCAAAGCAAACTAATTGCAGGTTCCTTGGTACTCCAACTTCTATACAATTTGTTGCTGAAATAGAGAGTAGCAGCCATGCCATAGTGTTGTCTGTGCTATGCTGAAGGGTTAGATAATCCTGCTCTAGTCACTGCCAAATCCTATTTCTGCACTCTCTGGTTAGGCTCTTGGTAGGGCACTCTCTGGTTACATAATATTGCATTAAGGTTCGGTTGCATGATCTGTTATGGGTACAGTTATCCTTTTACATCGCCATTTAAAGAAATGTCACCTTCAGTGATCATCTCTGTTAAGTTTATTCTTTGTATTGTGCAGCCCTTTGAATCTGTTCCATTGACTATCACATGGACTCCAGTAGAAGAAGGAGGCATAAGAGAACTTGTCACATTTGTGGTAAATGATCTTGTAAAGCACCAAGCTGTACTTCTGGGACATGCGGAGCTGCCATCTAAGAAGAAGGTGAGTGTAACCTTGTGTTAGAATAATTTATTTATAGAGCTCACGTTTTCGAATCGGAATAAACATTATTGTGTGAAGTCTGTGGTGAACAATATAGTGAAATGAAAAGTGTAAAATTATACAGCAATGAATGCAGAATGGCACCGGCTATAGAGGACTACAAAACCCAGCAATAGTACATTATACAGCACAATGCAGAATACCACCAGCTATAGAGGAATACAACAAATCCCAGCAATAGTACATTATACAGCGCAATGCAGAATACCACCAGCTATAGAGGAATACAACAAATCCCAGCAATAGTACATTATACAGCGCAATGCAGAATACCACCAGCTATAGAGGAATACAAATCCCAGCAATACATTATAGAGCACCATGTGTGGGAAAGTGCAGGCTTACCTGAGCAGTCTTCCAGCAACTTGTTTCTGAGATCGGGCCTGTCTATCGGCGGCTGTCATCCGCCCACACCTGCTCCTCCTTACTTCTTCTCCCATACGTCCCTGTGCCGATCATGGATTTGGGCGGGGAGGAGGTGCGGTGTGTGGATGCGGGCGGGTCTGGCAGTGGCGAGCGTAAGGTGGGGAGGAGGTGTGGAGCCGTGAACAGGGCCAACCAATCGGAAGTAGATTAATCGATGATTGAAAAAGTTGACAACTCTACCAAAAAGTTGACAACTTTTTCAATCATCGATTATGTCGATTAGTTGTTGCAGCCCTAGTTATGTCGTCACCGCACTTGTAGTCCATTGATTACTTTCTCCAGTCCCGTAATGGAAGGTCTGTACCTCCTGTATGGGACTGGAATGTAAACTGAGCAGGAGCCTGTGCATTGCACCCATGATGCATTGATCATGGTTGCAATGCTCTGCTGGCCTAAGTGCAAAAAATTAATAAATGCACATTTTCTTTTCATCAAAGTTGGTGCATTTATTAATTTTTTTTTTCCCCCAAAATGAAGCTGTTCTTTTAAACATGCCACTTCTGTTAGCCTGGTTTTACACTGTCATGCATGTTAAGCCAGGTACACACAATTAATTTGGGTCGATTCAGCAGGATCCGGCTGAAATTTGCTGGGTTGGTGACACTATTCCCGTGGCAGAAGTCGATCATTATCAACTTTTGTTGAAGAAACATGTACATTTTCATCAAGTGGTGCTTGCAGCCAGTTAGCTGCAAGCAACTTTGGGAATTCTGCCAATGGTCAGACTACAGTAGAAACAGTGAGGGATTCGTCCATCCATATTGTTCAGCGTGCATGAAGGCATCTTATATTGTCTTCATTCATACGCACTGGTTAAAAGAAGAGAATATAAGCATGTATACCTGGCTTTAGTGTCAGATGCTGAGGTTCTGCCAGAGATTCATAGACTGGGTGGTGGGATAGCTTTGCTGTGTGTTGTTTTTTTTTTTTTTCCCTGCAATTTAACTTTCCTAGTTAATGAAACATAAATGGTGTAAGTATAACTAAAACGTTATTTCTATTTTCGATAGAAAAAGTAAAAAAAAAAAAAAAAACCTGTCATTTTAGTTTTTGTGCTATTGCGGAGATTTCCCTTTACTTCCTGTTGTGGAAATGGCACAGGAAGTGTCATTTTAAATTTCTTCAAAGTAAAGGAAATTCCCCTCTTGAGCTGACCATACACCTATAGATTATCTGTAGATTTTCTATGGCCGGATGGAAAAAGTGCAACAGGTTACTCCATGTATGCTAAACTGTGTGGATGGAGGAATCTCCCACTGGGCCAAGCTTCAGTATCTTGCTAGTCGGCCCCACTGGCTCTCAAAATACCTGAACAGTGCCTGCATCCAATCAGATTGTTCAGGTATTTTGACAGCCAGCAGGGCCGACTAGCAAGATACTGAAGCTTGGCCCAGTGGTAGATTCCTCCATCCACAGTTTAGCGTAGATGGAGGAATCTTTTGCACCATCTGACCGTAGAAATTCTGCAGATAATCTATAGGTGTATGGGCAGCTTTAGACAATTGTCACTAAAACAAGTGTCCACATTAGCAGATTTGCCCTCCTATTCCTTCTTTGGGGACAGTTGTAATGTTTTTGGCTTTTCTATCATTTACTGTTGCAGTTACAATAGCCAACCAGATTAGAGAGCTTGAATCTTCCCAGCGGGACACAGAAAATCATAACATTTGGACAGGGGTTCTAATCCTAATCCCCGACCTCTCTTCCTTCCCCATTCAAAACTTCAAATGTTTCCCTGTATATGTATGTTGCCTTCTCTGTCTTTGTACATGAAATGACATTGCATTTCCTTTTGAATACACTGCAGAGAGCTCGTTGGAATACCATAAAGAAGAAATATACTCCTGCAGGAGCAAAGGTTTCTGGACCAAATAATAAAGATCTTTCTTCTACAGTCATCAAAAACAAAACATTTAATGTAAAACACAAAAATGGCCAAGGAGTATCCGGAGTGGCAAATAATCCTTTAAGGTCATGTGAGAATATTTCCAAACCAGGTATCAGAGACTCTCGTGTCAAGAAAGGTAGGCGGAGCACAGAAAATAAAGCTCCTGCTCTCCAAGTCAGTCCGCTTGGTAATGATCTACAAGCTTTTATCCCAGGATCACTCAAGAGGTCAAAGACATACTCTATTCTGTGCACCGAGTACGAGACCATAGAAGAAGTTGCAGCCACATCTACAATTAACAGGGATTTTGTTCTTGAGGAACAATGGACTCTCACTGAACACAGGGTGAACAAAGTGTCCATCTCGCCAATAAATCCAGTGCATGGCCCCCAGCATAATTATACTTGTACGCCAAGTCTGGTAAATGCCTTTAAAACCTTATCCCCGACTGAGTTTTATAATGCCGAGCTTGCTATTAGACATGATGCATCTGAAAAGTCCAGCTCCTTCCAAGAGTCTTTCCATGAATGTTTTACAAAGATGAGCTTAAAGATGCAGACGCCACCATCGGCGGTGCTCACACCGCAAAGAAAAGCTTTAAGTCCCGATTCATTTATCAGCAACAGTTATGTTTCAGATGAATATCAGGACGCAGTTAATCATACTCCAGTTTTGTCACCAGAGCAGTTTGTCAGAGATAATTTTTTAACACCTCCTGTTGTGGAAGATTTAAAGTCCAGCCAGTTTAGAACGGAGTCTGTCAACAAAGTCTTTTCTGTTAAGGCCTCTGCGAATGCAGATCCTGAGATTTCCAGATTAACTTATTGTGTCAAAAAGAAAAAAGGTAGGAGCGCTCCATTGCTGTTGAGTGGCAATTCTGTGGCCAATAACACTGGAAAAGCCCAGATAAACTCGGCAACAGTTACAAAAGCCAGGTCTTCAGACTGCAGTGACAATTTACATAGACCTCAGCTGAAGTCCCGTAGAAGGTTGAAGTGTGTTGAACTAGAGGGCAAAGAGGATTCCCAGGGTGATGTGCTCCAGCAATTGCCAGTGTTATGTGCTCCAAACCTTCCTTCCATTAGTGCTCCAGACCTTCCTTCCATAAGTGTATCAATACCTGCTAGCTGTTCAGGATCACCTCTGACCAAGGAGACAGCTGTATCTAGCATTGCTAGCTGTTCAGAATTGCCTCTGACCAAGGACATAGCCATACCTAGACCTGCTAGCTGTTCAGGATTACCTCTGATCAAGGACGTAGCCATATCTAGACCTACTAGCTGTTCAGAATCACCTCTGACTGAGGACCTTGCCATATCTAGACCTGCTAGCTGTTCAGAATTGTCTCTGACCAAGGACATAGCCATATCTAGACCTGCTAGCTGTTCAGAATTGCCTCTGACCAAGGACATAGCCATATCTAGACCTGCTAGCTGTTCAGAATCGCCTCTGACCAAGGACATAGCCATATCTAGACCTGCTAGTTGTTCAGAATCGCCTCTGACCAAGGACACAGCCATGTCTAGACCTGCCAGCTGTTCAGGACCGCCTCTGTCCAAGGACTTTGCCATATCAAGACCTGCCAGCTATTCAGGATCACCCATGACCAAGGACACATCCATATCTATCTGTGGTCACAAGAGGAGAAGTGCAGAGATTTCTGTTTGGTCATCTGGGGCATCCAATGAGTCTTTAAATGTCGTCCAAGCTAAGAGAAGTCATCTGTCAAAACCAGCTGTATCTCAGCGTGTAAAAAGTCAAGAGCGTCAACGGGGAACCAGAATGAGTAAGTTGTTTTTTTTTGTTTTTTTTTTATTGGCCATTTTTATATTGCATTTTGTGTTAGACAACAAAACAGCCCTGCCTTTTTTTCTTATGGTACAAGAAATGTAAATTTGAATTAAAAAAAAAAAAAAATAGTTTTTTGTAAAATTGACTCACAGCTGTTATAGTTTTGCATTTTTAAATGAATAAACTGGCTGTAGGGTGCAAGGAAGAAGAGGGAGGAATGCTTTACAAAACATGCCAGTTTGTCATATCTGGTCCAGAATGTGTAAGGCTGAGTGCACAGCATTGTGGAGTACAAGAAATGCTCCAGAAGTGCAGGGGAGACCTCTGTTTTAGCATACAGCTGATTTGTATCTGGTGCTGAATACTCGCTCATCTGCACTTTTTAAGGGTGACAGCTCTGCAGCTTGAGCCTTCAAATCAGTAATATGTGCTTGCATTACTTTTTATATTTGCAGGTTCCTTTTTAAAGACCAACTCTGGGCTTTTCTGTTTATTTACTTAAACGGTCCCCCAGCACTACTCGAAATAAAAAAAATGCAGCTCTTGCTGTAATACTCTCCTCCTCTCCATTGCCCTTCCCTGCAGTAATTACATTCTGCCACTGGATGTCCACAGTCATCAGCACTCAGTGTGATTTTATCCCAGAAGACTTGAGGACATACTGTGAGTGCAGCGTGTCACCATGATAACCTGTACTTGGTGTTAATGATGCAGTCTATGCATCAGGTCAGTGCTGCTCTCTGCATGTTTGAGAACTGCCCACCTCCTGAAGGTCAGAAGATCTCGCAGCACATTGTATGTTCAACTTGAAGACATCTAGAAAAGGCACTGGGTGGGGAAATTTAAAGCCCAAGTTGTGCTTGACGCATAGTGTAGATGGCCTAGCACTTGCATTACAGCTGGTTGAAAGTATATGATGGTAGGGTGACTGAATTAGCCATTATTCGAGAAAATCTCTTTTCTATATTTGTCATCTTTGTTTTTTTTATGCATAGCTTCTTCAACACCGAATCTTTGGAAAAGCCATAAAACGAAGCCTGAAGTCAAAGGAAAGCCCACCTTGGCAAAATCTCGGCAGATAGGTACTTACATTTGTGCACTAGCAGGTACACTTTGTTTTTTAGAAAAAAAGTGAAAATATATATATATATATATTTGCCTTTCCAATGACCCATTTGTTGAAGCTGTTGCTGCTTCGTTACTCTCCACCAACTTTATTTTTTTCTGTATCATTCTTCATTGCATTCTTTTCCAGGGACTGGGTGTGTAATAGGATGGATTTAAATTGAATATACTGAAATTTGAAAAATACCTTAACTACCGTATTTTGCGCTCCATAAAGAGCCATAGGACGCAGGGAGGTTCTGTGAAAGCAGCTGTAGTTAGTGACAGGTGGTGCTGTGATTACAGCGCCGGTGGTGCTGTAATGTGATTACAGCGCCACGGTCTCGGTGATCACACAGAGCAGATGAAGAAAGGACGTTCTTTGTCTGTTCTAGGGGCTCTATGGTGAGCTCCTATGCCGTGGTCACGGGTCCCCCAGAGGAGCAGGGGACCCTGAAAACAACGGCGGTGGGCCCCGGGCACGATCGCCGCCATCGCTCGGTTTGATACAAGTGATCTCATTAGATCACTTGTATTAAACGAGCAGCGGCTCCCTCTGTACAGTTAGCTCTGTTTGTCCAGAGCAGGGCTAAATGTACAAGAAACTACTCGCCCGGCGCCCGAAACTGCATGTATCGGGCGATAGGGATTCGCTCCATAAGATGCCTTTTGGGGGGGGGGGGGGGGGTTTGTGCGTCTTATGGAGCGAAAAATATGGTAATTGTCCACGTGATAATATTCTCTAGAATGGCTAATGCATAAACTTGAGCAGGAAGAAAAAGTTGCCAATTTTGACCTTCTCCATATATATAGATAGATTCACACACTAGTTGCCTAACTGTCTCTGGCTTCAATACTTTGAGTCTTTGATCAGGAAGAAGCACGAAACAAGTAAAAAGTTACTGCTTTTGACCTGCATACTTGTTCCACATCTAAGTATAAGTCAGTGGATCTAAATGACTGCCATCTATAGAGCCGACCTCTGGCGGTTTCATTGTCACAGGTCAGCTCAAACTATGAGGTTGAGTGAAAATCACTCGCCTCATAGTTCTCCTGTTTTAATTTGATTTTTTTTTTTTTCTTTCCAGATAAGACAGAGCTGCCACAGTTACATTCTGCTGTCACCTTTAAACATTCCAAGAGAGTTGTTGCTGTTCCACAATCAAAGCTGACTTTCATGAAGACTGCTAAAACAGGTATGTGCCTGTGTTCATATCAGAATTGTATCTAAAAAACCTTCATCTGATACTGCAAATGAGCCTTGAAGTGTGTTTCCACTTTCTCAGCCGAATTGGGATAACCCCTTTTTTATATTTGTTACATGTTCCCATTCATGTAGCATATGCGAAAAGAAGATGTTTAAAAGAACTATGGTCTAACATTTTTTTGGTCATAGTTCGTCACGGGAGGAAATATACTAAGGTCCTCGGGTGACCCAAAACTCAGTATATTGCCCACTATATGCTGAGAGCGCAGAGCGGTGCTGCAGCCGGGACGGATCCCGACGGATTGACAGCGGGCTCTGCCGGCTCCCTCCCCGTCCGTTGCTCTGGTCAATGCTGAAGAAACAGAGGGAAAGGCGGTGTGTAATGCCTGCAGTGACTGACAGTCGCCACTCTCTGCAGGGAGAGTATCAGGAAGTCAGTGTTCGGTGGTGTGTGTTCGCCGACCTGTGACAGGTTCAGTGTCACAGGCTGGCTTGAACTATGGGGATGAGTGCATTCACCCCATAATTCTCTTTTTAAAAACTGCTTGCAGTTGGGTTAGGGTTTCTTGGCTTCCTAAGGTTTAAAATGTCTACTTCCCTGTAAGGTTAGGAGGGTCCTTAAGGGGTTTGTTACCCTTACCTACACAGCGCTAGCTGATTTCATTATAACTTGTAAAGTAGATACTTTATGTATTCAAATGTTAATGAGTAAAACACAATCCTCAAATTTCAGTCCTAAATCCCTCTAAAGGGCAGCTCACTGTGAAGGTGCTGATAAAAAAAACCTGGATTCAGCCATGTTGACTGCTGCAACAAAACATCTAAAAGGTTAGAAATATTTTCTAATCGTTCTTTTTCAGCATGCTGTGTGAATAGGAACACATGGCAAACATGTAGAGGGGTCTTATCAAATTTGACTACAAAAGTGGAAATACACTTTAAAGAGACTGTCAGTCGGGTAATAACTTGAAAAATGTCTTTAGCAAATGTGGGCATCTATTGACTCCTACTGAACTGTGTAATGTACGTTTCTTAGGTCTTCCTCCCAGTAGTAATACTTGTTTCTTATTTGCAGTCATTCCTCGACACCCCATGCCATTTGCTGCCAAAAACATGTTTTATGATGAGCGCTGGATGGCAAAGCAAGAACGGGGCTTTACTTGGTGGCTAAATTTCATACTCACCCCAGATGACTTTGCAGTAAAAACAGATTCTATGAAAGGTTAGTTTTTCAATAGACAAAGTGGGATAGGGTGAGTTCTCATCTGATTTTTAAATATTATCTATGTACCCAATGGGGAGATTTCCCCCTGACTTCCTTTTCTGTCTGTCTTCCATCACACGAACATCAAATTATAGGAATTATGTAGGGGCACAGATGACCATAAACTCGAGTTTCTAACCCTTTAGCACCTTATCCAAAACTAAACAATACATTTTGGCTTAAGTTGTACTTTATTTTTTTTTATTGAATATGTTGTGCTTTAGTTTTTATATCTGACAAGATACCTTCTGCTTATGACCATCTGGTGGTACGTTGTAGATTAAGGATTTAGTGGGGGGGAGACCACGTGATTTAATTAGCATTCCTGCCAATGTTGAGTTGCATGTCATTTTGGAGAGGGAACTATAATTTCTGGACACTGGTTAGGTCACAGGGTGAAAACATTTAATATGGGAATAAAAAGATACAAATGAGAACCCTAGGTGGGAATTTATGAAGGTATATGGATTTATAGATGAGTAGAAACTGCCGGACACAATTGGTATAGAAGCAGTGTGAGATGGTAAGTTCACCTGGTAACTTTCATTTATATAGGTTATGACTATAATCCATCTTTTGTTTTTTATCCTAGTAAATGCAGCTGCTCTGATCCTTGGAGCTGAGAGCTCTCACAAAGTGAGTGTGCCTAAGGCTCCAACCAAGGAAGAGGTTTCCTTGAAAGCATACACAGCCCGATGCAGGTTGAATAGACTAAGGAGATCGGCCTGCCGCCTCTTCACCTCCGACCCTGTGGTAAAAGCCATTCGGAGACTGGAAGTAGAGATTGAAGCTCGACGCCTTCTTGTAAGGAAAGACAGACATCTCTGGAAAGATGTTGGTAAGGTCAAACTTCTTTTAAATAAAACCCTCAAAGTGAAAATGTTGCCTATACTGGTAATTTTGTATTTATATAGTAAATGTGACATCTTCGCATGAATATTGTAAGGGCTAAAGCTTTTCGTGTGTGTGTATTACACACTTTTTTTTCTTTCTTTCGCATTGGCCAGTTCCTGAATACTGTCTAGATCCTTGGTTCTCAACTTGTGGGTCGTGACCCAAAATTGGGTCGTGACCCCGTTTTCAGTGGGTCACGGCATGCCTTCCACTTTTCTAGGTGAGAGGCTCCTCTGCCTCCACCTAGCGTAGCACTGTCAGTTCTTGTGCCAAGCAGCCATTTGAAATATGCTGCGGGACGCCGAGTGTCAGCTTGGGATGGGACTGTGGCCGCAAGGGAGCCCCATCCATATGTGCATTGCTTACAACTCTCACATGTCCTGTAGAGGTGCCTGGAACAGAGTGACATTACTTTCTGGCTCCCGGCACCTCTACAGGGTGCGCAAAAGAGCTGTACAAGCAATGCACATATGGATGGAGCTCTGTCACAGCACAGCAGCCCACACTGGCTGAGGATACACTCCAGTTCTCGTAAGGTAGGGAGACTGGGTGGACCTTAAATTTGTGTGTGAAATTGTGTCTGTCAGTGTTTTTGAGGGCCCATTCACACTAGCACAGTGTGTTAATCACATAGTACCATGCAATTAACGCACTGTACCACGTAATCGCACCTACCGTGCATTCTGATGTGGGAGGTGTGTCGCATTGCCATTCATTTGTATGGTACCCCAAATGCACCTCCCACCCACATTTCGTACCCTCGCACTGGAACACGCGGTACTCTAATGCTGCGCATCCATTGCAGTGCGACTTGGGTCGCGACTTAATGACCAAGGAGAAATGTAGGTCCTGAGGTTACACAGGTTGAGAACCACTGGTCTAGATGGCCCACTTAGTGACACTGAACTCAGGAGTTAAATCCTAAAAATGCATTAAAGTACCCGAGCAATTAACAGAAATGTATCTTATTTGTGTATCACTCTGCTGCAGATCCTCAATTAATTTCTGAATTGGTGCCGACACTGTCCTTCTGGAGGGTGGCTACTTTTGTTCCCCGTGGACCATGTGGAGGTTGTAAACTAGTCACCGCTCCAAGCTTGCTCCTGTGATGGACTACAATCTCACGTTTAGTTAGCTAATTTGTATTGACGTTATAGTCTGTCACAGGAGCAAGCTTGGCGTGGTGGCCAATATAGAACTCACAGGGAACAAAAGTAGCCACCCTCTAGAAGGAAGGACAGTGTCAGCATGAGTTCAGAGATGATTGGGGGATCTACAGGTGAGTGATACACAAATAAGAAACACTTTTTGTTAACAGGTAAGGCAATGCATTTTTAAGCTTTACTCCTGAGTTCAGTGTCACTTTAATTATTTGGTCTGCTCTCTAGAGATTTCTTCTGTGAGTCCGGGGAGACCCGATTATACACGCTAGGGGGCTGGTCCCCGATGCCTTGGGCTCACAGGAAGTGGGTTGAATAACACCGAAGGACATCCAGGCAACTAACATGCTTAGAAGTCTTCCATGGCACCCCATGTTTTTCTTTCATCACAGGCTTCCTTTAAAGCCAGAAAAAAAAAATGAATGCACTAGGTGGGTAAACTATTATAACTTTTTCTGTGGTGTGTGTGAACGACTGCTACATAGTATAAAAAAAGCTGTCTCCTGCATATAATGCTGAGCTTCTGGGCACTGAGTGGGAGATGCAACTCTAGCAATGAAGTACTCCAGTGCATCAACTGCCCTTCACCACTACTTGCCCATTCACAAAATGTCTTTTCTCTTTTTACAAAGAATGCAATGCATTCTTTGATTGGAGGAGAGAGAATGTCACATCCACACCCCTTCCTCTTCAATCACAAAATGCCTTGTATTCTTTGAAAAGAAAAATACAAGGCATTTTGTGAATGGGAAAGTAGTGAGAAGGGGCAGCTGATGTGCCCAAGCACTTCACTGCTCGATGTGCATCTCCTCACTCCCCTCAGTGCCTAGAAGCTCAGCGTTGTCTGCAGGAGACTCCTTGTTGCGAGGTAAGTGGGGTTTATTTTTTATACTTTGCAGCGGCCCTCCACGCATTTAATTTTTTTTTTTTTTTTAAACTGCTTATTTATTACACATGTTTTGGCTTTAAGCATGGCAGAGTTTTACTCTTTTATCCTCTTAGTGGTTGTCCTTACTGGGCTTATGTGTTGCTTTTTAAAATGTTCATAAATATCCTGTAAAAATGATTATGGAAGAATTGTTAACATATAGAATGTTTGTTTGTTTTTTCAACCTTGGATCAATTTTCTAGGCGAGCGTCAGAAAATCTTAAGCTGGCTTCTTTCATATAATCCATTGTGGCTTCGTGTAGCACTGGAGGTAATACCTGTTTAAATGAAGTCAACGTGCCTATTTTAACAGTTGCAACTTTGCACTTGTGGCTTTATAGAACTACTATGCGTTTTATTATTTAGGGGTGTAATTTATTCTTAATGTCATTTTGTGATTGGCAGACTACATTTGGAGAGCTAATTTCACTTGATGGCAATAGTGATGTCACTGGCCTTGCGTTGTTCATCTTGAATCGTCTCCTCTGGAATCCAGATATTGCTGCAGAGTACAGACATCCCTCAGTACCGCACTTGTATCGTGATGGTGAGTATTTTCAGCATTCAAGTATCTATAAAAAATAAAGTATCCATAAAACTTTTTTAGTCTTTTGAAGAGAAGTGTTCGTTGTGGCATTACAAATGGTATGATTTTTCTTTTGTACTATTATTAAACTACTTGTTTTTACTGATATTTTTTTTTCTGTCTGTTTTTAGGTCATGAGGAGGCTTTGTCCAAGTTTACATTGAAAAAACTGCTGCTGCTGGTTTTCTTTCTTGATTATGCTAAACAGTCGAGGCTTATTGATCACGATCCCTGCCTGTTTTGTAAGGATGCTGAATTTAAGGTAGGTATTTTTATTTATTTTTTCCTTTTTATTTATAGATGTTTGAAAAATCATGGATCTGGTCCTGTTTGTCGAATGAGTGCTACTGCACTAAGAAATGATCTTACAACCCCATAAGCAAATTATGTTAGCAGTGCCATATTAGATCTTTCCCTGATAGATGTTCTGGTCCGTCTGAAAACTGTTGGCCAAACTATATTAGTGTATATATCCAGGATCTGCTACCTTTTTGCTCTTCGGTTATTCTATTTATTTTTATATACTGTACATGTGTTAATGTGATTTTGATGATGCTGCCGAGTTCTGTTGAGTCTTATGTAATAAGTGTGACAGGTCCACTGTAATAATTTTTGCAAGTATTGAACATGTATGCTCTTTACCTAGTGTCCTGCGTTTTTGTGTTGTCACAGACAAGTAAAGACCTTCTGCTGGCATTCTCTCGTGATTTTCTGAGTGGAGAAGGAGATCTTTCACGTCATCTTGGTTATCTGGGGTTACATGTCAGCCACGTCCAAACACCTCTTGATGAATTTGACTTTGCAGTCACAAATCTTGCAGTGGATTTACAATGTGGAGTTCGCTTGGTGTGAGTAACATACATATGCCTTGTAGTTTGCTTTCAGAAGTACCGGTACTTTTCGTCGCTAACAGGTTCACTAAAACAAAAAAAGGTAAAATAATGTTATCTTTGTCTTTGTAAACAGTAGAATGATGGAACTCCTAACTCATAACTGGAGCCTGTCCAAAAAGCTGAGAGTCCCAGCAATAAGTCGTCTGCAGAAAATGCACAATGTGGAGGTGGCACTGCAAGTTTTGGCAGATAGAGGAGTTCAGATTAAAGATGAGCGTGGTAAATAGCTGATCTTTTGATTTCATAGATGAAGAGATTAATTTTATACTCAAACATTCATCTTCAAAGTGTTACTGCTGTGTAATTACACGTTCTAATAGCCTTTCACCCTTCCAAACACAATTTGACATATCAACTCTAAATGCATTGCAGGTCACTCAATCTCATCCAAAGACATTGTGGACAGACACCGAGAACGTACATTGGCTTTGCTGTGGAATATTGTTTTTACCTTCCAGGTACTGTCTTGCATGTTTATGTGTAGGGAGAGTTGTATGTAACTTTTCTGTGTCCTACTAACCATTTTTAATAAAACTGCCCTTCTTGTAGATATGCAGATTGACCCTGCAAAGACAAAAAAAAACCCAAACCCTTAAGGGAGAACTATGAGGTGAGTGATTTCCACTCATCCTCCTGGTTAGAGCCAACGTTTGACAAAGAAGCTGTCGCAGGTGGGCTCTATTGATCGGGAAGTGAACAGAAACGTGCACCGATCTGTTCACTTCCCGATCGTCTTGTCACCGCTCCCTGCAGGGATTCCCCTCTCCGATCCTCCATAAGACTGTCTTATTTTCGGGGAAACACGGTAGTCAAGTCATGCTGTGACTATAACATCAGCAAAACTTTCCCCCTTTTTCCCTATATAAAAATTTATAATCCTTCGACCTAATACTATGGCTGTCTTTCTTTCCATCTAATCGGCTATGACCAATGTTAGTTTTTTTACCTCTCTGTGATAGGTGGAAGTTGTGCTGAATGTTGACAATCTAAAAGAGGAGATAAAGTTCCTGACACACCGGTACAGCACCCAGAAAAGGCTTGCTGCCCTACGTGCCCTGTCATTTCCAACAGTGGCTAAGAAGCGTGACAGTAACCCATTTTTACCGGAAAATTACAACGAGCCAGTGCTGCTACTCATGGAATGGGTTAATGCAGTATGTGCCTTCTATAACACAAAGGTAATGTTGTTTTGGTGTTTGTGTAACCTAAAAATAGTATTCTGGTCACTTTTTAAAATGCTTATTTCTACTCAACAGGAATGTGAAGAATAATGGAGTACATGACACAAAATACTTGTAGTGGTCAAACACTCCTACATTTGATTCACATTCTCAGTGGATTGTATTTCTCTGATATAACCTATGCATTTGTTTTTGCTTGTAGGTTGAAAATTTTACGGTGTCATTTTCTGATGGGAGAGTATTTTGTTACCTAATTAACCATTACCACCCCAGCTATGTGGCATTAGATGCTATTTGTCAGCGGACAACACAGACCATAGAGTGTAATGAGAATGGGACAGTAGGACTGAATTCTTCCTCAGATTCTGATAACTCTGTCGATATGTGGTCTGGAATGTGTGATGAAGGTAACTCTAGTTTTTCTACTATTGCTTTAAACTGTAAGTCAGACCCAAACTTTTTTGTATAGAGCAAACAAGGGTTAGAACCTTTTGGCAGGTTCTTTGTTACCGGTCTTTAGAACATTTCCCTTTGTGACAGGTCCTTATAATGCACAGCTTGCATTGAGAAACTTCTTGGGGTCAAGTAATATATGATCCAATGATTACTGCAAATAGGTCTGGTTATTACCCCAACCTTAACAGTTATGTGCAACCATAATGTAAATGTACAAAAGATGGGACATTTCCTTGCTGTTTTGTTTGTAACCATTGTGTCTCATTTCCTAGCTCAGTTGCAAACTGTATCTACAGTATAAGTGTAAGTGCTCCCTCTGCAGTGCCTATGAAATTACTCTCCGAGTAACGCTAGCTTTACTCGGCAATGTTTTTATGCCTCCAGTCTGCAGGTGAGCATCCCATTGATGCTTGCAATGTTATCTTTCTTGAACCTCTGTTTCTTGCTGAGCAGAAGAACCAGCTGAAGAGCTCCTCCAACTGAAATCTAGTTGGATGCAATGGTTTACTGCCTCTTTCAGACATATTTGATAAACCGTGCAAAGTACCTAGGTTTGGTCTGTAAGAGGCATTGTAACACTTGCAAACCAGGGTGTTGCTTGTTCAAGGTGATATCAACCAATGGGGAGATTCAGAGTTCAGGAAAAGCTTCCGATTGGCCAGCTCTACCTAAAGTATTCCCGTAATGACTAGGGATGCACCGATACTAGTATCGATATGGCTTATGCCTAGCCCGATGCTTCCTGTATCAGGAAACTGGGCAGCGCGTCATTACACTCTGCCCGGTTTCCTGATTGGCCGGGAAGAGGCTCCATGCTCTCTCGTCACTTGTGATGAGAGATCTGGGGAGAGATCAAAACAGCAGTTCATTAACTAACTATAGTTAAGTATTTTCGCTCTCTAAGTATCATCTGTTTTCGTATTTGAAAGGACAATTAGATTGGTCCATATCAGAGTGTGTCTGAATTATGATAGTCCCAGGCTTTATTAAAGTAGCCCATGCCGTTACTCTTGCTATACCATTAAACATCACTTGGAGGCAGTTGTAAACTCTTTATGGCTCCCTCTCTCCTTCAATTCCTAGATAGCAGCTGTGAAAACCCGATGTAAAAAAACTGCTTTACCTTCATGGTAATGCCTGTCTATAAAAACTGTGTCTGGCAAAAATAACGTCTCTCCTTCCCCAATTTTGCTCTTCTCCTCTTCCTCCCTTCTTTTTTTTTTCCTTCTCTAGTGGCTGAACAAAACAAATAGAATTTCTGTATTTTGTGTGTTGTAACTGCTTGGAGTTCAAATTAAGTGATCATGTTACTGTGGAAAATAGATTGGATGGACACAACCACCCAAAGCTGCTCCTAAAAACTAGGAAGTCCCTGAATCTGGGTGTATACTGTATGCAGGTTCAAACGTTGAGAAGTCGTAACTCTGTTACTCCTGGAGTTCTCACTTTCCAGTTCATGGGTTCTGTGTAGGTCACCTAGGCATGCATTGCATTATAATTGAGGGAGAGTGTGGTTTGGGGGTAAGTAAAAGGTTGGCATACAAAAGCTTTGTCTTCTCAAGTGCAGAAATTGCATTCTAATAAGTTCACTGTAAATGCTCTTCTTCCTCCATGCTCAGTAAAAGAATCTGAAAACCAGACGGCACTCGAATCAAATATTTATTACTGTAAAGAATTTGATAGAATGGGTAGAATAGTGCAGGCCTCCCCTAACTGCATCTGTGAGGGGTCTTGGTCTCAATACTGGTACTGCAATAGAAGATATTTTACCAATGGTGTACCCGAGAGACAGATGAAGCCAATTTACAATTCAACCCATCAGCATCCACCCATATCTGACAGTTTTACATGTCCTGCCACCATGAGGGTTATTGATGCTCATTTCCATTATTACTCTATTTGTTTTACAGGGTTTACCACCTCAGCCTTGTTCAAAGAATTATTGGATAATGAAAGAACAAACTTCATTCTTCTGCAGACTGCAGTGTCTAATCTCGGGGGTATTCCTGCCATGATCCATCACACTGATACATCTAATACAATCCCAGATGAAAAGGTATGGCAGTGTCACTAGGCTCAAGATCTCTCCTGTTATAAAAACAATCTTACTATGTGGCTTAATTTAACCCTGTCCTTGCCTGCACCATGATTATGAAGGGACAGTACAATTTGTAGCATTCCAGATCAGTACACGTGGTTTAACTTAAAGGAGAGCTATGAGGTGAGTGAAAATCATTCATCCTCATAGTTCGAGCCGACGTGGGACAATGAAACGCATCAGCTCAAAAGATCTGGAAGTGAGCGAGCACATACCATCCGCTCACTTCTTGATCATCTCCCTGCAGAGAGCCGTGACTGTCGGTCACGGCTCCCTGCAGGGATTCCCCCGCTCCGATCCTCCAGCGCTAAGTGGAGGAATGGAGGGGGCGGGGTAGAGCTGGCTCTGCCTCAAGATGGGCAGAGTCAGCTGTTACTCACGCAGCTGGGTGGATCTCGACCCTAATGTCCGTATCCGGCTGTGGCGGTCTTAGTGTACCGCAAGCTATAGCTCGCGATATACTGAGCTTTGGGTCACAGTGTAGTGTTGACAAGTTGAGTTTCGTTTACATTACATATCTATAGGCTATGCGTGGCCAAGGAAGCGGCATTCTAAGCGATCTGCTTTGTCCTTCATATAATGTAGGACAGATGGTGTACATCCATCACAGAAAAAAAGGGTTCTCTCTCATCTACAAATCCATATTTTTGTTCTCGTTCAGCTCAGCACTGTTGTGACAGTTGGAGAGTGCGTTCATGGATTTGTGCACCAGGGAGATCACTCTTCCTGAGATAATGGGGGCGAGCTCAATGGACCATCCATCCTAGCTTGTTTGCAGGATGGCGTGGATCCCTCAGAATGCTACTTCTTTGCCCAGACATTGCGGAATTAGCGCTTGGGCTACTGGTATGCAAATTAAACGAAGCTCAATTTCTCAACACATACATTTTACTATAAAGGCAAACTGACTAAACTAAGTAACTAATAACTAAGTGGGTGCCCTGCCAAAGTAGAGTATAGCCGCCTGTCCCTATGCTCATGGCTCTTTGGAATAGCTACGGCCGCTGGCAGACTCGGCATCCGACACATCTGGTTCCACCCACGCGTTCTTTATTATCGTATGCAATTTGACTTGGAGTGGGGCTTTTGCTGAGCTTTTTTGGAAATGGAGAGTTATCTCTATCTAGGTGGGCAGGTATCACATTTTGAATAGTGAGAACCATCCAAACTACCGTATTTTGCGGTCTATAAGACGCTCCGGACGATAGGACGTGACAGAAATTAAGATGATCGCAAGTACGATCTGCCTGTCCAAGATGGGCAGTTCGTACGTTTTTTTTTTTATTACTTTACAACCTTTGCAAGACAAAAGTCTTGCAAGGGTTGCAAAGTGTATGGCCACCTTAAGACTCGGCTCTCGTAGTACATGCTGAAACATTTTAGAGCTGCAACAGTTAATCGATTTAGTCTATTAAAATCGACGATTGAAAACGTTGGCAACGTTTTCGATCGTCGATTCGTCGGCTATCGATTGATTTGCCTGTTCGGGGCTCCACATGCGACCTGAGCCACACGTCACACACTGCTCCCGTTGCGGCCGCCGTGCAAGCGAAGCCGTGCACGCCGCTGCTCTCCTCGGCGCGATCTCCCTCACCCGTCGCTGGCCCGCTGACAATCGAGGGCCCACCTTCTGAAAGCAAGTCAGTGGTGGAATAGCTGTACGGAGCTGCAGTGTGGAACAGGTGTGCGGGGATATAGTGGGGGTGCAGTGTGGACCAGGTGTGTGGGGGGTGCAGTGTGGACCAGGTGTGCGGGGAT